AATATAGGCCCACAACATTAAAAATACAGCAGTATATTTCATTGTACACATGGGGTACTTTTTATCCCTGTGTGCACCAAACCCATCTTGAGTGTTTGTTGCTAAAAAGCTAATTTTTTAGTTACATCTGACCATAGAAGCCAGTCCCATTTGAAGTTCCAGTCGTGTCTGACAACAGAATATGCTGGGGATTGTTTTTTGATGAGAGCATTTTCTTTTCTTGATTTTTTTTCTTGATCGGTTAATCAAAATAAAACTATCAAATCCAAATACTATGCTTTAATTTAATAAATATATAAGCTGTGTGTTTTACAGTGAGTGAAGTGAGGTTTTCACAAAAACAAAAATCTTATAGAACAGCATTTCAGCCTTTAGACCATTTTTATGAAAAGGGATAATTTAAGCATATAAATTATTACGTCAATTTAAAACGTATAAATATTACTGTCTTAATTGTTTAGATTTTTAGAAGGCACATTAACTTCTTTTTCATTTACAACTCTATGTGTTTGCTGCGTAAAAACATGAGTTGATATTTGCATTGATCTGACCATAAACAGCATGAAAGGCTTATTGGAAATGCAAATTCATTCTCTCTCTTCGCTTTAGGAGCGCTGAAATATTATGTGAAATACACAAAGCAGCTCCGCGCTCATAAACGCTGCTTTATCAGGAATTATAGGTAAAATGAAATGAAAATGTCAACGACCCGTTTCTGAGGACAGTCGGTTCCCTTCAGATACATTCAAATAAAGACATCTGCGCCGCGTTTTGACTTGAAACGTGCTCATATTTATTCAATGACATCATTGCCTTTTGAAGTTTAATCCAGCCGTATCGCAACGCTTGTCTTTCCGTCCCAAACTGTAAGACCTCTTGAAATTATAATTAAGACATTTCTTATACCATTTAACGTATTTAAAACTTTTTATGGCCTTAAGTTTGATACAACTCACTTTAGGAGTGTTTAAGGACCCACGGGAGATCTGCATTTAAGATAGCCCGTCGGGCAGAGTGGTGAAACATTTTGGTAGCCCGACTGGAAAACACAATAGCCCCGGGACGTCGGGCTAGCGATTTTGCGAGCCCTGAACTGTGTTCATACAAACAAGCACAGCAAACCTGGAACTTTTTTTCTTTACACATTTTGAATTACAATCACAATTTTTATCAGAAAAAAAAAAATCACGATTAGATTTTTTGGAAATTGTGCAACTCTATGAAGGAATGTTATCTACATGACTTTAACCATGGGATGATAAAAACAGAGTGGTCTGAGTATCTCAAGATCCTGCTAATCTTCTGGGATTTTCACATACAGCAATCTCTAGTTTGTCTAGAAAATTGGACAGTACAAGATTGGTAAAGTCAGAAATAAACAACACAAATCCATGGATCCATCTTGCCTTTTCAATCATTCAAGGTGCTGGTAGCAGTTCTGTATTTGTCTGGGGAACATTTTCTCAATAATAATCTCAGTATAACTCAATACCAACAGAGAATCACTGGTATCAAGTATTATTTATCCAGACCAAAACCAAACCAGTTCTACAAAAATGAGTACAGTGCCCTCCAAAAGTTTAGAAGCGCCCTAGGCAACAAGGGGTTTTGGATAATATCAGCATAAATCCTTATGATTTCTTGCCATAAATGCATGACAGTATAGTGGTTCTCAAAACCAGGGGGCTTTAGCAAGGGGGCAGCAGGATGACTAAAAACTATTTAACAAAATATTTCAGTTTGTATTTTAAATATGGTGTTGGAATACGGTGGGCCTTCAAGTCAAAAGAGTTGATAGCATTAAAGTAACTTGCAATTATCAATGAAGACCAGAAATGATTCTCATTTTGCTTATAATATTGGTTTAAGTTTGTCAAGGCTTTTCAGGTCAATCATTTAGGCCTACATAACAGTTCATATCAATTCAATGGAGCTCAAATATACAAGCACAGCATCTAAGATCCAGACAGGCCAGACTATGGTTGTGTGGGGGTCAATCATTTAGGCCTACATAACAGTTCATATCAATTCACTGGAGCTCAAATATACAAGCACAGCATCTAAGATCCAGACAGGCCAGACTATGGTTGTGTGGACTGAGTAGAGGTGCTGCAGTAAGTCATAATTGGTTCATCTGAGAACTCCCACATCTCACAGCTGCTCTCTGAGAACAGTCAATGGCCTCAATCTGTCATACAGCCCGTCTCCACCAGCTCCACGCATTCGCTCCAGCTCTTAACATGTTTTGTTCTCTCGCACTCTACCTGTCTTTTTCCTTCTACTGTCAATATGTATCGTCAAAACCACTGAGACGTCTTCATTAATTGTGTTGTTGCTGCATAGTTAAATTGTTGCATATTAACACAGGCCTGTTAGGGACACAAATGCTAATGAATATCAACTCTCTAGCCAACCACAGTTCTGCAATGAAAAGCGATGACGCTAATGTAATATCATAATATGCAAAATAGTTGAATTATTGTATTCAGGGTTCCTGCATCTGAAGTTCCATACTTTTTCATTCCTTCCTGTCATTCAAATTACTGTTTTTGTTTTGTTAAAAATAATTTTACACAGATTACACTAAAAAAAAGCCAAAATCGACCTAAAAATATTTTCCAGTTGAGCATAAACAGAAACATGCACTACTCTTCAGAAGTTTGTGGTCGGTAAGATTTTTATGTTTTGGAAAGAAGTCTCTATGTTCACCAAGGCAGCATTTATTTGATCAAAACATTTATTAATCAAATCGATACAGTGACATTGTCAAATATTGTTATAATTTAAAATAACTGATATCTATTTGAATTTATTTTCAAATGTAATTTATTCTTGTGATAGGAAATCAGTCTAATATGCTGATTTGGTGCTCAAGAAACATTTCTTATTATTATTTTCAGTGTTAAAAACCATTGTGCTGTTGTGTGATACATTTTTTCAGGATTCTTTTTCATTCATAGAAAGTTAAAAAGTACAGCACTCACTTGAAATAGAACTGTTTTGAATTATGAATATATTTACTATGTATATTCATTAATCCTGGAAATCACAATTTCCTCAAACTTCCTGGTTTTCCATGGCCATGGGTGTCCTGCATTTCATTAAATGTGGACATCAAAAGTGAAACTAAGTTGCTTTAGTGGTTTAAGTGTGCTGGTAAAGTGAAAACTGATTTCTGGTTTGTTCATTAGGCCAGTGGACTGGCATATGTTTATTCTCACACAGAACAGCCCAGTTGAGAGCAGTATGAATGATGGTTTGTCATTACAAGGTTGAGTCATGCATACTGAAAGGCTACAAATGTGGGTAAAGCCAAGGTCACTGCAGTACTGCGAGAACATCATGACAGAGTCAGAAATGGCCTTTAAAGATACATTAACTGCAAAGCAAGGTTATTTTCGTAAACGAAAACTAAAACTAAGACTAAAACGATTGATGAAAAAACAATTTCGTAAACCGAAATAAAATAAAAATGTCAAAATAATTGAAAAACTAAAACGAAACTAAACTAACAACAGTTATTGAAAAACTAACTGAAATAAAATAATAATTATCAAAAATAAATAATCGTTTTAGTAACCATTACGTTCTCACCCCTTGGCGGAAACATATATGAGCTGTGTGGCGGTTTAGGGAAATACCTGTAAATGGCGCATCATGCACGTGAGGTTATCTGACGGAGAGACGCAAAGCAGTTTAAAGCAGAGTCCTGCACGGGTTCTGTTTGGTAAACGTGCACCAGCAGTACTTAACAGAACACTCGACCCATTATCTGACAGCAGCACTAATTTAATTCTGTACCAGACCAGA